TTTTTTTTTTTTTTTGTCATGTTTTTAATTTGTTTACTAATTTTTAATTCTCTTGCATACTTTTTAAGTTTTAATTTAATATTTCTTGCTCATATAACTGGCATAATATTAAAATTTAATAGGTGAAAGGTTAAGTACATGTTCTTATCATCAATAATTTTACTCTTTTTGGTTGAACTAATATTTACATTTAATAAGAATAAATGCATATTTTTTTGTAATACTTACACGGTTGTGTTTATATGATGTGATTATTTATATTTTTATTTTATTTTATATTACTTTAATAATTATTTTAAGTATTATTTATTTTTATTTCTTAACTAATTATAAATTTAACATATGTCCTTATAAGTAATTTTACATGTTAACAACTGATTAAAATAACTAATTTTACCAAACTCTCTTTTACAAACCGCTAATACAATCAGCTGGTCAAAATAACAAATACAATCCGCTGGTCAAAGCAGCTAATGAAATTCGTTAACAGCTAACAGCTAACAGCTAACCGCTGATTACCAAACAAGCCTTATTAAATAAGTTATATTAAATGTTTGGCAAGAGATTGTATATATACTAGTATTTTACCCTGTGCATTTGCACAGATGTTCATAAAGTATTATAAGTTATTTGTATGCACGTAGTATTAAAATTATAAGTTCGATAATAAAATTATATGTCAAACATGAAATATTATAAGTTAAATTTATGCATATAATATTAAAATTATTAGTTAGATAATGACATTATGTTGTATAAAATTTGATCATTGCTTAAAATAAATACTACATAATGATTTGATTCAAAACGAATCACTATATTAATTGCATAAAATGTAATAAATAATGTATTTTGTAGTTTTAAGGGATCATGACCAATTGATTAGCGAAAATATATTAAACTTATTATAACAATTGCTTAAGTTGGTTTAAGAAATTTTACTATGATATTAAGGTAAACTAATCATTTAGATAACAATAGCTTAATCAAATAAAAATTTAATATTAATTTTAGAATAAATAATTTAAACAAAATGTTTTTACAATATAATTTGTATTCTTATGTAACTTTCGTATATCATTTAGTGTAAATAAATTAATTATACTAATAACTATTGCAATAAAAAATATAAATAATATAACGTGTAACAATTTTTGTCTTAATTAACCAAAAAAAAGTGCAAGAAAATATTTTATCATTAGTGGACAGAGTGGATAATGTCATAATAATAATGATAGTAGTAGTAGTAATAATAATAATAATAATAATAATAATAATAATAATAATAATAATAATAATAATAATAATAATAATAATAATAATAATAATACTGAATTGTAACGATTTTTGTGTTAAGAAAGTTGTCAAATAGGCCTCCTACTTAATTACACATCAATACACCATTATCTTTTTATTTTTTTCTCTCTCCTCCCTATCATTTATAAAGACTAAAGTTTAATGGAGTAAAATTTATTAGGTAAAATTAAATAGGTTTTATTTATTAGATAAAATTAATTGCTTAGCTAGCAATTATATATATATATATATAAATTATTATATTAAAATATAATTGTTTATAAGATTCTAAAGTTGTTTGACTATATTATTAAAACAATTTACTAATTGTTTTTAAAAAAATATTTTCATGAGATACAAAAGAAGAAGATAATGTTGATATTAAAATAAATAGCTTGAAACAATTGTTTATAATTATGTAATTTATATTTATTGCGATTTATTATTAGTTGGTATTAGCAATAACTATTATAATATAATAGAAACATACATATTACACTCAATAGGATGTATTAATGTGAGAACTAAAAAATATTTATGATAAATTTTGTAACAAAAAATGGAGGAAAATTTTTAGAGATTTTATTAAATGTTATATGCCAGCAATTATATATACTAGTGATCAACCCGTGCATTTGCACGGAGAAAATGACGTAGAAAAGATAATAATATAAAAATAAAAAACAAAAATACATAACCATAATTCAATTCATGAAAAAATATGAATTAAGAAAATAATTCTAATTTTTATTAAACATATTTGTTTGTATACAATATTCATAGTTTTCCTATGGTCGGAATCACCATCACCACATATCATTATCTTCAAACGCTTCTCATTCGTACCTCTGTGAAGAGCAAAATACAACTGTCCATGATTGAAAACAGAGTTGTTCAAGACTAAGCGGACGTGTAAGAGAGATTGGTCTTGACTCTTGTTGATCGTCATAGTATATGAGACCATGATAAAAAATTATCTGTGTTGAAACTTGAACGGTACCATCAAACAAATAAAGAATAATAAAATGTGTGCCGAACTTAGTATAATTGTCAGCATTGTAAACATTTGGATCGAAATTATCTACTGAACAAATAATTGCATTATAAATAATTGTTGAAGTAAGCTGGACAACATATTAAAAAATGTGCTGAATTGGGCTTAATTTTTTTTATTAAAAAATTTATAAATGTGGCTTGAGCCGATATTCTCAATAAGTCTATTTGGTTCAACTTAAACATTATTTTTTTTGGGCTTTACCAAATCATATCGGCGGATCACGCGTTTTTATCTCTGTAAAAAATATCCAAGATCTCATTTTTCTTACCAGTTTTTGTCGATAATCATGCCATTTTCTTTGTTTTTCAGTCAGATATTCCGATGAAATTCTAAATTTTTTCGAAAAATAAAAAAATTCAAACAAAATCGAAATATAACATCAAAATCATTCTGATTTTACAGTCTCGTTTTACTAAATCACAGTAAAAAGTGCAAATTGTCTGATTATATAACATATCTATCAAAATTTGGAATTTTTTTGTTTTGATTTAAGGTTGTCGTCCCTATTTGACTAAAATGCTTCAATGAATCATGAGAAAATGTTTCCATCGGGAGATTATAGTACGAATCTATCAAGATCTGTAATTTGTTAAGAATTTATGATTTTTTTTATTTTTCTATAAAACCGTATTTTCAGTTAATTTCAGAAGACGATTGATATTTTCTTGTCGTCCCTATTTTGCTAACATACATCAATGAATCATAAGAAAATGGTTCAATAGGGAGATTATAGTACGGATCTATCAAGATATGTAACGTTTATTGAATATATAATTTCTTTTTAAAAAATCATGTTTTTAGTTGATTTTAGAAGTAGATTGGATTTTAAATCTTATTTAGTGTTTGTTTTGCCATTTTCTTTAAAATAATTGAAATATCTACATAATTTGATGTCTTTTGCTCAAAACATAGATTTGCTTTTGCAAACAATGAACGGATATTGTTATATTTAATGATGTTCTTATGGTTTATGAAGAATATACATGTTGTTCGGTTGCAACAGTCGATCTGCATATACATATGAGCCATGTGTCTGGTTTTCAAATTAAAAAAAAAAATCTTTAAGGACACCTCATTTCTACTCGCAATTTTGTTAAAATAAGGTTTTAATATTCATTTATGTTATTTATTAAATATTTTACTTTAATTTTAAGGATACGCAATCGAACTGAGGTGAAAACACTAAAAAAATAGAAAATAAAAAAATAAAGCAACCAAAAAACTAAATAAAAAATAGCATTCTTGAATTTTGTAGGGAATAAATGGAAAATACAATTACAACAAAAACCACGACTCAAGAGGACAACCAGATAACAAAAAAAAAAGCATAAAAAGTTCATCAAGATCATATTTTTTTCAGCTCAGCAGGTAAAAAAACTAAAATATTTAACCAGTGTAAATAAGAAAAAGAGGCCATTATATACATTTTTAAACTTTCCGTGTAAATAAGAGAATATTATAATTACAACAAAACCCATGACACATAGGGGGATAATGTAATTTAATGCAGAATAATAAAATTAAATAAGAGAAATGGTAATTACTTTAAGCGAGAAATAAAAACTAATAATATTAAATGCTGAAACCTTTTGGGGATAATATAATTAAATGCAGGATAATAAAATTATATGAAGAACACCTTTTGCTCCAAATTATATATAAATAGATATAGAGTCATATAGTAATCAACTTGTGCAAATGCACATAGAAGAATACTTAAAAAAAAAATAACAATATAAAAAAAATCCTAATTTAATTCATGAAAAAATATGAAATAAGAAAATGATTCTCAAAATTGATTTTGATCAAGTAATTGCTATAGAATAGCCGTTACCATTTTCTTTATGCTAATACATTCTGCCATTTTCATGAGTGACTGTGACTTAAAATTTGAGTTCAATTTTGTAACTCCATTGATTCATTTATGCTCATAATTTATGGCATTCAAGCAAGTTATTTTGTAACTTAAAAATGAAATTGAATGTTGAAAAATTTGGAGGGAGAATAAAATTTAATGCATGGTAATAAAAATTAGGGGTAAAATAATTTTTCTCATCCGAACTATCATGGTTTTGGCGCATCACCATATAAACTATTTTTTTTACAAACCACCATATGAACTATACAGGTTTGTCAATGTACCCCCTAAATCGGATATAAAAATGGTTTTGATTGAAAAAAGTTGTTTTGAATGGCATTTTAGTAATTTCACACATTTTTCAAGGAAAAAAAAGAAAAATGAAAATAATGAATAAGTTGGTTTCAAAAAATAAAATAAAGAATAAAAAATAAAATGAGAAATGAGGCTCGTTCCAAAATGTCTTGGACCAGAAATACCTGCTACGCAACCGGAGCCCCTGCCGGCCTGCACCGACGCCGACCCCACCACCGCCTCTTGTTCACAGTGGAAACCGATGCATGCGACGACAGTTGAGGGCACATCACGTCGAGCTCATTGTGGGTACATGGCGGGAGGCGGTGGTGGGGCCGGCGACGGTGCAGGCCGACGGGGGCTCTGGTGGCGTAGCATGTATTTCTGGTCCAAGACATTTTGGAACGAGCTTCATTTCTTAATTTCTTTATTTTTTATTTTATTTTTTGAATCCAACTTCTTATTTTTTTTTTTCATTTTTTCCTTCTTATTTTATGTAAAATGTGTAAATTACTAATATGCCATTAAAAACAATTTTTTCAATCAAAACTATTTTTATATCCAGTTTAGGGGCACATTGACAAACCCGTATAGTTTATATGGTGGTTTGTAAAAAAAAAATAGTTTATATGGTGATGCGCCAAGGCCCACAACCGTAATAGTTCGAATGGGAAAATGTATTTTACCCCTAAAATTAAATGATGTGAAATATGTGATGCTCCAAATTGTATCCAAATTATATATTTATAGATATAGATAATAGATATTAAATGCCCAAAATAAAAAGCACAAGCCACTGGGTCCAGTCGGTACCAAAACGCATATAGAATGTAGAAACTCTGCTCGCTCATGGGTTGTTGGCTTCCTCACAGCTCAATCCCTCCAATCTGCTGTACCGCCTTTTCTCACCATCTTCCTTTCTTCGCTCCAGTTCGTTTCAGATTCAAGTCAGTTATCAATGCTTTCCTTATGCGTCTACACAATCTGCCCATGGCGAAAATCGAATTTTTACATTACATCTATGTTTCATTTTTTTTTTTTGATGCATTATGATATTGCATGGTTTGTTCTCATGTGGCTGCATCTGTATTGCATGTGTGTGGAAGAAAACTCTGTGGGCTGCCGTACAGAAGCTATTGCAGGGACAGAATTCATCAGGGTGAAATTATGGAGCATGTTGTGGCAGATGGTGCTGAGGTAATGATCGGTGATGATCAATTGCTCCAGGACAAAATAAACTCCGTTCGACTCAGTGGCCCTTCAAAACTTCAGGTTCTGTTGTGTTTATCATTGTTGTTTTCTTTTCTGATCGGAAATTCGTATCTGTCAGCATGGCCTGAATAAGATATTCGACTCATTTTTGTTCAGTATTCAATCCCTTCGAATTGTTGGACAAGTTTTCTCAGTTTTGTGTGTGTGTGTGTGTGTGTGTGTGTGTGTGTGTGTGTTGAGAGCAGTAAAACATTCCTTACTGTTTCACTGATAAAGAAACAGGAGCAGTAAAGCATTGTGTAGTAGGATTAATTTCTTAATTCTTATACCTAGACCCTTAACCTCACTCTGCTACAATATCTATGATAATCATGTTTGTTGAATAATATGTGGATACTACTATAAGACATAATGCATTGAGATCATAAATAGAACATAAAATCTGTTATTGCTATTTCAGTCTAATATAAGAGAAGTAACACAATGGAAAGATTAGATATATTCCAATCTGACTGGTTAACGTGCACAGTTTGTGGGGTAATTTGTAGTTCTTAACCTTGTTTGAACTAAGCTTGAAATTGCAATGGAACACTGGAAATACTCACATGGAATTCTTTAGTAGCTATTAACATTTATTGATGATTTAGTTAAATTCAGCGTATGTTCAGATAATGAAAATGTTTCAGGTTCATACTTCATATTAGTTTGCTCGATAGTTTTCTATTTTACTTCGCCAAATAAATGGCATGGTAAATGAACGATTGTTATTCCCAAAACCAAGTCTTACAAATGCAATGTGAAAAGATGGAATCATTAGTGGGGACTAGAACAAGAGAGCATGTGTATCCCATGTCTGTTCCTCCTTCCATGATAAATGGGGAATGTGTGTGTGTATGTGTATGTTTGTTTGTTTTACCAAAAGCTGTTATATTTATTTATCATTTATACATCCATGCCCCGTTTATTTTTATTCAACCTTATTATTCTGATCCATGCATAATGTTTTTTCAGTGGACATGCTATTCAGATGCTGATAAATGTGTAGGCCATCTATGTGTGTTTGACTTGTAGTTTACTTTGAAATTACAGATTATTGCAGATTTTGATGCTACACTAACAAAGTATTGGATTAATGGTCAACGAGGGCATAGTATGTAATCCTTCCTTATTTTTTTACTTTATCTAATTTTAATACAGTTGCGCATAGCGAAGGTTTTTTAAGCGCTATATTATCGTATGTAATGTTTTTCTGTTAAAAATAAAAATGTAGGCAGTCACGGCCTTCTACAACAGGGGAAACCTGAGTATGATCTCAAGAGGCAGAATTTATATGAGCATTATCATCCATTAGAGATTGACCCAACCATCCCACTTGATGAGAAAGCAAAACTCATGGAAGAGTGGTATGTGACATGTTCAATCCTACAGAACAGCTAGATCACTTGTAGCAAGCCTACACTTAATTGTCACTTCAGTCATTCAACATTTCTTGCTGCAAATATTTCCTCGTAGATACTTGAGTATGTCTGTTGAGGTGGTTGATCTTGAAGTGTTTGACTCTGTGTAGGTGGGAGAAAACTCATGCTCTTCTTATTGAGGGAGGACTCACCTATGCTGCCATAAAGAGCTCAGTAGCTAAATCAAGGATCACATTCAGAGAGGGTGTCACTGAACTTTTTGAACTGTTGGAGGTAAATTGAATTATTGTTGCCTATATTTTGCCCTATCTAAAATGACGCTAAAGCAGCTAGGCAGTTAAAAAATTAAGTGGGTTGATATAGTAGTATATTAAATATTGTGTGATGTTTAAGAGAGTAGCTTGTCTTAGTAAAAAATCGAGAGAGCGTGCAGAATATTTCCATTCTTATTATTCAGAGCAGTTATATTTGAAATAGTTTACAATTATTTTTCATGGTTGATGTTGTTGTAGAGGAATAATGTTCCTGTCCTCATATTTTCTGCTGGCCTTGCGGATATTATTGAAGAGGTTAGCATTCAGATATAACGTAGTTGTCGTATCTGATTTGATGGCACACAGAAGTTTTTTGTTTACAGGGTAACATCATTTGCCGTCTCTTTCAGGTGTTGAGACAGAAACTTCATAGATCCTTTAAGAATGTCAGAATTGTATCCAACAGGATGGTCTTCGATCAAGATGGTAACCTTATATCTTTTAAAGGTATGGCCATTCTTTTTGAAGGACTATCCCTCGCAGTTATTTCTTTATCTGTGTAGTTCGTACATTGTGATGCATAATCATTGAACTTCACATGTTCCTTGTATATCACGATCTTTAGCGTGGAACATGGCGAGATCTCCAAGTGGCCGTGATATCCTATTAATTTGCTGAAATGGGAAAATTAGAGTCTCAAATTTTTCTTCATTCACCAGTGTAATTCCATATCCTATATACTTCAAGGGGACCTGTCAAGTAGATTTTTATTGGAAATTGTAGCAGGGTTTGACCCTGGTGTTTGGTTGTTTTCTAAAGTTAGCTAGTTTAGCAAAGCTTTCTTTACAACCCAAAATTATGATTCAGCATGTTTTCTTTTT